TTTGGGGGGGGGGGGGGAAGGAAGACTAACCTGTCAAAGTTTCTGTTGCTGAAGAATCCACGCTCCTTGCTTCCTCCTCCTTGGGCGTTTCTTCTGTCATCAACAGACTTTACCCACGCATCAACTGCACCACGTGATCTTGGCCTATCCATAGAATCAACACTCCTAGACTCATCGAATGATTCGGAGTGGGAATGCGATCTTTCTGAAAAATTAGCCGTTCTGCCTGCATTGGAGCCAGGTCTCTCCACTGCTTTCTGCCTGAACCTGACCTTACCGTCCAACTCACGGGTAAGAGTTTCCAGATCTTTTTCTTTCTGACTTATAATTTCCGGCAACCTACTGTGATTACTTTCAGGTTCTTGTTCAGAATCCTTGCTGGATAGTGCTTCCGGTTCCTTCTCAAGTTGCTTCTTTAATTCTTCGATCTCTTCCTTCAACATTTTCTCTTCTTCTGTCTCAGGCCTTCAAAAAGTTTGTTTCATGAAATAACACAGTTAAGTGAGGCCAATGTGATTGAAAGAAGATCCAGAAAGTCACTAACAATTTCATGACAATATATAAAACAGTGCAAGGCATCACAATCATGCAGAACAGAGGATCAACTAAACTGAACAGCAAGTGTCTAAGCTTTGAGGAAGACATGCATCAAGAGAAAGAAAATTTCAGCTTACACATGTAAGACAAGCAAAGGATATCCTAACAATGGACACGCCTAAACATGTTTCTCTTCTCTGATCTACAGCCAAAAGTTTGAATATACTGTATTTGAAAGCTAATATCACTTCAAAGTTCAAAATTTTCTGAACCAATCATGGTCAAGCAGAATATCAACAACCAGCAACATGAACTCGCTAAAATCTAACTAATATCCATGCCAAATCCCGAGTGACAACAAGGAAAATCAAGAGGGGTAAGGACCTGTCAACCCTGCGATGCTCGAGCTCGGAATCAATCTTGCGCCAATCCTGTCCTCGTTCCTCAAGCAACACTTCCCTAGGCTTTGCATCACCAAAAGGATTCACCTTGGGTCTCGGTTTCACCACATTCTCTACGCTGTTCAATGCTGAACCTCCAGACCTGTTAGATTGAGCACTTGATGGCCTGCTTGAATGCGCACTTGTCGGCCTGCTTGTCTGAAAGCTTCCTTTCTTCGCCTCAATTTCTGAGTCAAGCTTCTTCCAGTCCATGCCCTTCTCCGCCAACACTTCCTCTCTTGGTCTAGCTGCACCGAATGGGCTCGGTTTATTCGTCTTCACAATTTCAGTTTCGGACACCCCTGAATCAGCTTTTCGTGGATCCAAAGCCAAACGGGGACGCTCCGCCTGAACACCCACACTGGCGACTCCTCGGGTCCACCGGTCGGGCTCGGGACCCGAGTCACGGAAACCCGAGCCAAATGTAGATGAACTCGCGGGCGGCTGCCTCTT